ATACTAAATGAAGGTTACGTATTACACAAACAAACCCCCGTTGACTTCAAAACGGAGACAATATTCGACGTAATTGAATTGATTATATATTGATGTATTTAGTTCGATTTGAATATCTATACTTAATCGGCAACATTACTTGTGTGCAATTAAACATTTCAGACTTTTTGTCCAAAAAATTAAATGACTTTTATCATTATATGATACTTAAACATTATTCCTTTTCATATAAAAATGCCATTTTTTTTAATATTGGACAGTAAATTCATCAAACTAATACATTACACTTACAACTTTCACAACTATGGATTCTAGTCATTAAATGAAATAAATCCAAACATGCATAAGTTGTTCTTTAATGTATAATAAGTCATGCCTAATTTACATATTATACCATTATTTATTTCATCATATTTCCAACAATTATCTCTGTCCTGAAAAAGTTTGTTATAATTACTTTTTTTAGTCAATGATGACAACATTTGGATTATAATTTTAATTATTATATCTGTATATAACTTATAAATTTATAAACTTTATACTTTTATGAAAATATTTTAAATAAGGAACCTTTTAATATATCTTTCATATTCAAAAAAATTAATTAGTCAAAGTTGATTGTCACGACCACGAAAAGTCAAATTGATGTCAATCACCTTGTGATCCGATGACATCACTGTGACACTCCTTAAGAGGTTTGAATCATATCCCAGTTCAAGAATGTTGGACTTAACATAGAACATATACTATAACAGGTTGGAAAATGTTGCAAAAAAAAAAAGATAAGTCAAATTGACAGATCTTTTTGAAACTGAGGAAGTATGTGTGTTATTCTTAGTCAACAACATTTAGATCTTTTGACTTTGGAATTTGAGAATTGTACTACGTAATCATTACAATAAAATTCAAAAAGTATTTAAATGACATTGATCGAAAGCAATAAATTATTTACTCCATAAATTTTGGTTGCAGAGGAATTGGCTAGACGTCGTTTAACGGCGTAGTTACCTTTCCTCCTCTGTCTTTCTTTTCACTCTTTTTTTTTCTCTTGACACGATTTTGGTGTTTGAGCTTGTGAATTTGGGGGACAAAGCAATCTAATTCATTGCTGAAGAATTCTTGTTGCTATTGATCTCAAATGAGTTTTATATTAAACTCAAATGAGTATACGCGTAAAAGAAATGAACTCACACAAATTAATACTGGGCACACTAAAAAAGAGTTTTATATTAAACTCTATTGAGTATAATGCCCAAACTGAATGAGCTTACACAAATGAGCTTTTGAATTATTTGATACTCATTTTGTAAGTTATTTATGCTCATTCAGTACTGTTTTATGCTCATTTTACAATATTTTACATTTCCAACGTATAATACTACATTAGATTCACATATTGAAATGAATTGAAATTGATTATAAACATAATTTAAGAATTTTTTATAAATGAAGAAATAATAAAAAGAAATGGAATTAGAAGATATGAAACATATATCAATGGTGCTCATTGTTAAACTTTCAAATACTCAAAAGAACATACTCGATGCTCATCAGAAAAGCATAAATGCTCATTTAAGAGAAATCATGATTTTCACCAAAATTACAAATTTGTCACCGGTTATATGATTCTGGTCGTGCAGCCGGTTGTATGATATATACGCTTCCGTAATATATGTTGTCATATAAATAACCGTTAAAATAACCGTTGTATGATTCTGATCGTGCAGCCGGCTGTCATTTAAAGAACCGTTGTTTTTAATTTTAATGTGATATATGTTGTCATATAAATAACCGTCTCGTAGCACCAATGCCCAACCTAATCAAGTCGGGAAAAGTACTGAAAAGGTACTTGTGGTTGAGCCCGTTTTCAGATAGGGTCATGTGTTTCATTCTTTATCAAAGTGGTTCATGTGTTTCAATTCCGTTATCACAAGAGGGTCACGCCGTTAAAAACGTCTGAAAAAGACCGTTAAAAGTAACTCCGATTTTCAAAAGTGCCTGAAAATTAAAAGAAAAATACCGGAAGGTGCGCCTCAATAAGACGACCGCTAGGCCATCTTTCTTTTTTGTTTTCAGCCACCCTAGTCACCGGAAAGTCCATCGAAAAAGTGATATTAGCGAAATTATTTTTAAAAAATAATTCAAACAGATCTGAAAAATCCAAAGGCGAAGGTGGTTTGGAGGTCATCTTGACGAAGCGCACCTTTCGGTATTTTTCTTTTAATTTTTTGGGCACTTTTGAAAACCGGAGTAACTTTTAACGATCTTTTTCAGACGTTTTTAATGGGGTGACCCTATTGTGATAACAGAATTGAAACACATGAACCACTTTGATAAAGAATGAAACACATGACCGTATCTGAAAATGGACCCAACCACAGGTACATTTTCCGTACTTTTCCCGAATACTTTTTATGAGGAATTGAATGACTAGAAAACTTGGTAAAGTTTATGTGATATTAGAACTAATTCTCATGTAGTAATATTTCCTTCATCTCAATTCGATGATACTAATATTGTTATATTTTTTTATGTATGATTACAATTTTAATTAGTTTCATTGTTTGTTATTGTGGAAATTACACACTTTTGGTGTAATTACTTTATTTTTCTAGATAGTTGTAATTTGTTTAAATTAACATTATTCTGAGTTTAAAATTGGTCAAGATTATCAAAAGGACATAGATCGAACCCCAAAAGATCAAGAAAAGTGAAAGGAGACAAGACAAAAAGAAGATTGAAGAAATATTTCATATATCCGTTCGGGTATAGGCAATACATGATTGGGTATTGAGTTGATTCGAGTATCAAAATCAAAATCTGGAAGACAAAACAACGTGCGAGATTTTGAAGATTTGGTTCATACCCGACCGGGTATGTCCCGAAAAGTCACTTTCTGGGAAACTGGCTTGAAGACCCGATCTGGTATCCTATATACCCGGTTGGGTATCAGGCCCACCCCCACCCACCCTCAAAGCCTATAAACTTTGTTAGTTAATACGCGTATTATATGCGTACAATACGCTAGAACGTATAATACACGTATAAAACATCCGATTACGTATTTTGTCCAAAAATTCGTTAAAATACGCGTATTTTGAAGGTAAAACGTATAATTCTCGTATCAATCCGTATTTATACGTTTTTAAATTAAAAAAAGCCCAACTAAAAAGTAGACTAAAGCGTAAAGCGTACATACCGTTGTCACAAAGCCTGAGGCCCCAAAAATACTTCGTATTAATAATGTGGGCTAGTATAGTATAGCTGTCCAATCAACTAATAAACTGCCTAAGGTATACGGAACCAAAGCACAGACCTTTCAGAAGTCTGTGTGACTTATGTTGATGATGCAGATGGGTTTGAAGATTTTACTTTTGATTTTTGAGACTTTATTAGAGACTTTAGTGTTGATTTACTTTAGATTTTAGACTTTGGTGTTTTATGTTTTTCTTTCATGATTACTGCATTCATTGTCATGAAAACTTTTTACTATCCTTCTTTATTTTGGATTTAGTTTTCTTGATGTGATTTCCATAGAAAATTTAAAGTTAGAATCATTTTATTTAAAATTGGCTTTTTTATTATAGTTGTTACATCATATATCTAAGAATATATATATTTCTTTTTAAAGAAAAATTGCATCTTAAATTGTTGAAAAATGTTGAGATGTTAACTAATCATTTCTTTCTATCAATAATTTAGTGAAATTAGTGTAAATATAAACACGTATAACGTATTATATGACGTATTTTTAAATTATTAAAAGTTTAAAACACGTACGTATCCGTATTCTTGCTGCAAACGTATATAACATATATTAAGTCGTATTTTATAAAAGTGTGCCGTATTATACATGAACGTACGTACTATTGTATTATTCACGTACCGTATATTCCTAACAAAGCCTATAAATACACTTATATTCCTTCTCATTAAAATCACCAATTCACATATATACCTCTAAGCTTAGTTTAGACAAGTATTTTCTATATAATTCCTAATATGTTTAGTCTTCAAATGAGGAGTTAAACTCTTCAATCTTGATTTTGTTACATGGGAGCTTATGATTTGTAAGTTGTGAGTTATTTTCTTTAATCATCTTCCTTTAATATTAATTACATTCCTATTTTATATCTCATATTAATATTTGAGCATTACTCAAACATCAACTAGTTTAGAATTAAAAGGATAGTACGAATTATTCATATAGAGAAAGAAATAGATGACACAAATTGCACGATAGATGGACACGAATCAACCTATTATGCTAAAAAACGTTTAAAATGTTCTTAATAAGATCGAAATATTATTGTCGGGTCGGTCCGATCTTATCTTATCTCATATGATTTGGTGTAATTTTATTCTGGGAATGAAAAAAATCCAAGTAAAAATATCTTTAATCATATTAAATTGCATCTTAAGATAAGGACAAGTTGTATGAAGTAAAAATAGTGCAATGATAAGAGCATCTCCATTCATGATCTCTAATAATCAATTTTTTCTATGATTCTTATCATTTAAATATTGTTAAATAATTAATTATAAAATAATCTCAAATTTCGTTTATGTCTCTCAATCATCATCTTCAAATAATCTATTTTTTCTTTGTCCTGCATTAATCTCTGTTACATACTCCCTCCGTCCATCAATACTTTGTCATATTTGATCGACACGGGAAATAATAAAGTAAAAATTGTGTGGTTGAGATATGTGCAGAGGTGAGAGAAATGACAGGAACCACAAATTCATTGATTAAAAGGGAAAGTGACAAAGTTTTTGGGACATCCAAAAAAGAAAAGATGACAAAGTTATAAGGGACGGAGGGAGTATATTTTTCAAATAATCTTAAAATATTCCGGATTCATATTTTGATCCCAGATTATTGTAGCAAATAATCTCATTAAATAATATATGTCACTCAATGATAATTCCCTAAAAAAACTTCCATGTTACCAAATTAATCTCATAATAATCCTCCCAATGAGGATGCCCTAAGAAAAAAGGACTATACTGAATTGATAAATTACTAATAATGAGATAAGTATAATTTAGAGTTTTACAAACTTCACTAAATTCGATATTAAAGTACATGAATGGATTCAATATAAAAAAGAAAAACAAAAGAAAAAATGGGAGAATTAGTAATAATGATCTTACTCCAGCTTTTCGTTTCCGAAATAGTGCGTCTTTGTTTTCTGTAGACGCCCGGCGAGACACCGGATCTTCGCGCTTGCTAACTCACTCTGCGACCAGTTTTCAGATGCTCGGATAATCTGATCTCTTTGTGGAAACGCATTCCACCAATTCATCCGTCCTGTTTCGTCGAACCCCAATCTCTGGTTTCATCGTTTCGTCGTAAGATAGAGCCCACGATTCGGGATTCATCTGTGTGGAAGAACGGGCATACACTAACCGGGAAAGATGGTTTCTGGGCATATATAAAGTAGGAATAAGAAAAAAGCACAAAGATGGGCTCGAAGAGAAAATCAGCTTCTTCTAAGAATCCACAAGAAACTTCTCAAAACAATGACATGTCGATCGCGGGCAAGTGTTTCTCTTTACTACTTTTTGTAATATCTTCCTTCCATAACCATTCTAGGGAAAAAATTGCTTTGATATATTTTTTATATTTGGCTGTTGGGTTTGCTTCGATCTGATATAAGAATAGATACGAAAAAAGAGAAAGATGTTTACCTGAAAACGAAAGTCCGTCTATATGGTGTAATTTTATTGCAGATTTTGTGTTATTGGAGTCGTATAAGTTCATACTTCTTGAACTGTACCATCCTGAGTTAAGCTTAGTCGCTTTGAAACATTTAGTGTTCAGTATTTGTCATTTGTCTAGAACTCCTAGTCCTTAATGAGATTTACACAATTGAATTAGTTAGACAACATAACTCACACAATTTAAGCCATATGTTTGGGTTTACCTCTCACTTAGAAGCTCCATTAGACTTGTCAAATTGTCTCAAATTTAATTCCAGAAAATAAGTAAGCTTTGAAGGGTAGAAGACTATTGGGACTTATAGAATAATTCTATCTTTTTCCTCTACGAACATCAGTTTCATTGTTAAACGTGAATTCGGAACTTCCTTGTCCAAAATTTTAGCTTCCTTCTGAAGACTCTTTAAAGAATGGAATTTTATATTTCAAAGTTTTTCACAACGATGCAATTGATATTGTTTTCTGCAGGTCTTCAGTCTAAGCACCAAGAAGAAATAGCAAATTTGACTCTTCTGGTACAGCCTATAAAAACGCTTAAGCTTTTCGCTATGGCAATGCTACAGCAGATCAGACAATCAGTGTCATATCTTTTCTCACATGTTTTATGGTTTGTGGCACTCATCGGTGTTGCTGTGCTCTTAGGAGTGCTTCTTTTCACTACAGATTCTGGCCATGGAAAGGTACTCATCACAATATCAAATATAAGTCTCTTAGGGTATGTTTGAATCCCATCACATGCTAGGGAAAGGTTGAGAGTTATCTTCTCGTGTGTGGTTTTGCCTAGTGAAATGCAAAGTAAATGCAATATGACTAATGTTTTAAAAGTTTACATGTATTTAGATTCTTATACTTGTAGTAGAAACCGCCGAATCAAACCGGTAAATAAACGGGTTTGAACAAATATCAAGAATAAATTTATTGAGCTTGAACGTTTTGTATTTAATGTGATATCCATTCAGAAAAGTATTACTACCTTGTACCTGGTCCCTATTATTTCTACCTGTCACCAACCTATGGTCGTGTATTCACTATTCATGCTAACTAATACTTAAATTGATTTTACAATATTATTGTGGGATATGCCCTGAGAAACTATCTCAATGAGTGGTTCATTAAATTTGTTATTGAAGTGGATAGAATCTATGATGATCAGATGATGGTGGTTTTGGAAAGCGTAATCGGAATGCCATTTCATTTTTTTTGTATATTTTGCATGGACTTGTATTACACATCATGAACTAGTACTATAAAATAAGCTAACACTATAAAGTATATACTCTATGTTGGGATTAAGGTAGGGGATGAACCTTGTAGAGGTCATGGGCCTTTCCAATTTTATATGTGAATTGACAAATGCGGAATATTGTTTAGAACCATATACACATAGTTGGTGGTTATATTTGATTAGATATCATTGGGTTATTCTCATTGTTTGTCATAGAGTTGGTAGTTGATATTTCGTACTCCCTCTGTCCCTTATAACTTTGCCAACTTTCCGTTTTTGGTTGTCCCAAAAACTTTGCCACTTTTCCTATTAGTTAATCTATTTGTGGTTCCTGTTATTTCTCTCTCCTCTGCACAAATATCTACCACACAGTTTTTACTTTATTATTCTTCGTGCCGGTCAAACTTGGCAATCCTTTTAGGAACGGAGGGAGTATTAATTATATATTTATGATTTTATTAATTGGCATATCTCTTCACTTCCCACTTCAATAGGCAGAGGAAGTGCTTAAGTATGTAAAGTTTGGAGTTTGGTGGACTCTTCTTGGTGTTGCATCTTCAATCGGCCTTGGTAACCTTAATTAATTAATCAATCGTTCAATTTATTCAGTTATCAACTTAAAAGTAAAAGTCTGATCTCTTCTTACTCTGTGTTTGTTTGTTAATGCAGGATCTGGTTTGCACACGTTTGTTTTGTATCTGGGCCCACACATTGCTCTATTCACTATAAAAGCAATGAAGTGTGGTCGGGTTGACATCAAGACAGCTCCATATGATACGATTCAACTGAAAAGAAGCCCATCATGGCTGGGAAAAGATTGTTCTGAGTTTGGGCCGCCATTGTTTTCTTCTTCTAATGGCACACGGGTCCCGTTGAGCAGTATATTGCCCCAGGTGCAGTTAGAGGCTATATTGTGGGGCCTCGGTACTGCACTTGGAGAGCTGCCCCCTTATTTCATTTCAAGAGCAGGTAAAGACTCAAAAGACCTTCAGTGTTTTCATGGCAGTGCAACCTGTTTTCTAAATCCCCTTCAAAGTTTGATTTGTTTAGAAGAAATTGTGAAACAGTTAAAGTCCAATTTAGTTTCTTGAGTATAAATGGTTACTCAATTTAGTTTTTTTTTGTTTCTTACAAAATTTGATCTTCGGTATGCATATTGAGTTCAGTTTAGTCCGCGGGCAGATTTTGTTTTGATTAAGGGCATTTTCATCCTTTTCAGTGACTAGAGATGTAAAGTGTGTCTAAAAAAGCCAACGGTCGTATTAAGTATATACGAAGAACTAAACTGGATATTAACTCTAATAACAGAGCAAGGCTTTCATTTCTTGAGTATATATAATTCTGATATTAACTAAATTGGAGTATGCTATTATGCTATTATAATTCATTAATGGTATAGATATTTTATATTTGTTTATATTCTGATTTAACTAAATTTTTAAGACATAAATCTTTAAAAATAGTTTATTTGGAAACCAAATATTAGAAATTAGCTCCATTTGTTTGACGGACTAAAATGACCTTTTAATCAAGAGCCAAATCGATTCCAACTTACATAATTGAGTCTAAAAATAGATATGGACTAAATATTGAATAAATATAAATGAGGGAATAGGTTAGGTATCCACTGTACTCTCTTTGTATGTACTCTTTTCTGATAGATTTTTTAATATTTTTTTATGCTTGCAGTAATGTTAGTGCTACTTTTAATTATTACATGCACATTCTCTTAAGCTCTTATAGTTAAGAGATTTTCTATGTATCTCATGATATGGTAAGACTCCTTAAATCTTATGATATCCTTTTCAGCACACCTTTCGGGAAGTAGATCAGAAGAACTGGATTCTCCATCAGATGATGATAGTGGGTATTTAGCAACTAAATTAAATCAAATTAAGTGCTGGTTTGTTTCCCATGCACAATATTTGAACTTCGTCTCAATCCTGATTCTTGCTTCGGTTAGTTTATAGAATATGATTTTTCCATATCTTTTGTTTTTTCACCGACATTTAGAAAATTTCCTTTGTTTACTTTTTTGGCAAATAGTTCAATATTGTTTCTCTCCTCTGCTGCTTTGATGACTTAAACACAGCATTTAGAAATATGTATTATTGATCATCCAAAAAATTGGCTGTGTAGGTGCCCAATCCTCTATTTGATTTGGCTGGAATAATGTGTGGACAGTTTGGCATTCCATTCTGGGAGTTTTTCCTTGCTACTTTGATTGGAAAGGCCATTATTAAAACTCATATCCAGGTATGTCATGTTTGTTTCATAACCCAAAACTAAGCTAGTTATTACTTTCTCGCTTCATATTTGAAGAAAATCCTTTTCTTTTTTTTTTTGACAGACTGTCTTCATAATTTCGGTTTGCAATAATCAACTACTCGATTGGATGGAAAATGAATTGATTTGGGTTCTCAGCTTTGTTCCTGGTGTTGATTCCTTCCTACCCAACTTGATAAGCAAGCTTCATTCCATTAAAAATACTTACATGGCATCCAAACCTCATCCATCTTCAGATGCTAAGGTGACCTGTTGATTCTCTCCTCTTCATCCATTGAATCTTTCACTCCGTTTTTCCTCCAATAATTATTTTTCTTTCTACAATTCAACAATATCATTCAATGCAGTATGCACTACTACCACTATGGTACAATTTCCGGCAATGTAGTAATGTTGAATATGTGTGTGTGTGTGTTATTGTCAAGAGCTATTTTTATGAATATCAGATAAACACGAACAATGATAGGGAGGAAAAACTTTAGTGCTCCAGGAGCAGTCGGTGCTTTGACCACTGAATGACGAGCGCTTGAGTTGTTTAAGGCTATTTTTGGAAAAACAAGTTGATATATTAGCTGACACATGATTTGTATGGAGTAGCACAAAAGTTGTAGTCAGATAAGCTAGTTGTTCTCATGTAGAGTTTGGGAAAATTAGGAGATAAGCTAAAATTGAAATGTTTAATGGCTTAAAAAATACATTCAAAATGGTTCTAAAATTTGAGGCTAAAAGTGGAACTACTCCAAGAGGATTTTTAACTAAACTTAAAGTTATCAAGTGAAATCCTCAATCCAAACACAGCTTGTTTGTATAGTGCTCTCTTAAAGATAAATAGGTAATAGTCAACTTATAAGCTAGCTTATGGAATACCAAACATAGCTCATGTGAATGTTCGGTTTCTCAGGAGTGTAATTCCACAAAATTATTATATGAGCATATCTCTTACTGTATTATTTTGGTATTTATTGTGATCAGGTGAACAATTGGGAGTTCTCATTGGGTTCAGTTTGGAACACAGTAGTATCGATTGTGCTTCTCAACTTTTTCTTCAAGATCATAAATGCAACTGCACAAAGTTATCGGAAGAAACAGCTCGAGACGGAGATCACTGCCAAAAAGGGCAAGTCCTCCATCCATTGATTGCATTTGGCTGTGATCACTGCATTTGGCAGACCTTACCGGCCACTACGTATGTACGTTCAGCTTCGCCTCTCACACTAATCACCATTTATCCCTCCCTGTCAGAAACTTTTATAGCTGGGGAGAAGATCAAATACAGAAATCACAGGTTAAATGTTTTATTTTAGCAGCCTGGATTGCCATTGTTGGAAACTCTTTGCTTTGCGCATTATTAGTAATAGAGAAGTTAGCATTATTGTTACTATTTGGCTGGCTTAACTGATGACAGTCTATTATCAAGAGATAGAAACTTGGTTGTATTTTCTACTTCTTCACTATAACGGAATTTGGTAGACTGTTCTCCTTTGTTTCACCATTATTAAGCTATATACACACCCCCATCAAATACTCTCATGCATCCATTGGTTCTGCGATTACTTCTTTTATTCAATATTCACATTTCACATGAAAGGAAATCAAATATGCTTTCTCCTTCATTTAATCTTAATTTTCTATATAATTCAGACTCCAAACATTCAATTCAGTAGTTTCATACTCGGTACTTTTCATTGGGAAGTAGTGAAGTACACAGTTCAGGCACTATGGTCGTTTAAGACATTTTTGCCATAACTAGGCCCTGACCACAATTATGAATTATGGATCTAAATACATATTCAATTTTTTTAATCTGTATTCGTCGGAATTTTTGAAGTTGCTAAATAGAGGGAGCATTTGTTAAAATAACGTCCCCGGTTTTCATGCTTTAGTTGATTCATAACTATTCATAAGCGAAACAAACTCAAACTGGTCTTGTAGTCTTGTGTTTTCACACGGTTCTATTTTTCACTGGATTCTCACCCGTGCGATGCACAGGACAAAATTAAATAAGTTTGTATCATATAATCATATTATTATATCCATCCCACTAATATTGAGACCGAAGGGGATGACACGATTATTAAAAAAATGAATTTATGTGGTTGATATTAAATATTAATTAATAAAATAAGAATGATTTAGAGTGACACAAATTTTATCGTGTGGGACAATTTTAGTGAATTTCTCGAAAAGAAAATGAGACAATATTTGTTAATAATATCTGCCAATGAAAGTTTTATGTAAATAAAATGAGTAAATGCACTAAAAGAGAATAAGAAAGAGTATCTTAACCTATCTTATAAAGGACAGTTTTTCATATTAAATGCTCTTTCATGCTTTATCATACTGTACACTTTGTCACTGGGGTTGTACTGCTACTATCCTGTTGAGTTATATCACTTACGGTGTTATACTGTTTGTATAACGGTGTTGAGTTATACACCTTGAGCAAATTAATATACAATAGCACACTTCTGAACTTTGGCTTCATACATTTAAGATGCTGAAGCTAATAATAATAGGTATGCATTTCATGAGTGTGGATTATCTTCCAAAGTCCTTAATTAATATGACGACTTCTGGAGTTCCCTTTATTTGATTTACATACATTTAAGATGTTAAAATCCTTCTTATATGGCCTTAGAAGACAAGATGATGAGGTTTCTGACTTTTAATATCCATCTTTCATATTGGTTTGGTTTTGGGGGGTAATTTTATCATGTCTCTTAACCTATCTTATAAAGGACAATTTTTCATATTAAATGATCTTTCATGCTTTATCATACTGTACGCTTTGTCACTGGGGTTGTACTGCTACTATCCAGTTGAGTTATATCATTTACGGTGTTATAATGTTTGTATAACGGTGTTGAGTTATACACCTTGAGCAAATTAATACACAATAGCACACTTCTTAACTTTGGCTTCATACATTTAAGATGCTGAAGCTAATATGTATGCATTTCATGAGTGTGGTTTATCTTCCAATGTCCCTAATTAATATGGCGACTTCTGGAGTTCCCTTTATTTGATTTACATACATTTAAGATGTTAAAATACTTCTTATATGGCCTTAGAAGACAAGATGATGAGGTTTCCGACTTTTAATATCCATCTTTCATATTGGTTTGGTTTTGGGGGGTAATTTTATCATGTCTTTCTATAAGTTGCTAATGATTAAATGCCGGATTGAGGGCCCGTTTGGTAACACCTAAATCTGTTGTATCGGCTAATGCTGAAATTTTTGAAGTTCTGACTGAAGCGGCTGTATTGGCTATTCAGCTGATTTGTGAAAAAATATATTTTAAATATTTTTTAGAAATAAAATAAATGAAAAATTATATGATAAAATAGCTAAAATGATCCTCTACAGTAGTTTCAGCCAATACAGCCAGAAAAGTAACTACAACCTTACTTTTTCTTATTATTACACAATTGAGTGCGCGAAACCAAAAGTTACGTTTTGATGAAAAAGTTGGCTGATAAGCTTGAAAAGCAAAAAATTATGGTTACCAAACGGGTTCTCATTCAACTTCATGTAAATGTTTATTGGGAGATGGATTGAACATATCTCATCGATTTGGTACAAATTGCTAACCTCAAAGTAGTTTGTTTTCTTCAATTTGAAAACAAAATAAAAAAGGTTTTTTTTAATAAAAATCAAACCCACTACAAGTTTGTCTATATGCCCGAACAGAATAGTTCTACATGTAAGATCGCGGACCAAATAATTTAAATTGAATAATTTTGTCAAGAACTATGACTTTGGGAGCGTATGTATATGTCTTATTTAAGAATTTAATCATATTAGGTGTTTGTTACTGCAATTATTTGTAGAGACAGAACTTTCAAGACTTTTTATGTATTTGCTGGTCTATTGTGTATGAATTGTATTATGCTCATTTTAACTGCAAAGACTAAAAATGAGCGTGACTCTCCAAAACAAATCATACAGATTCTGCAATGTTAAGCAAAATGTTAAACATGAGCTACAAATAATACCTTCAGTAGTTGCTTATATTCATGATACTCCCTTTTTATTCATAAATAAACTCATACACAATACATACATTTTGTTCTCAAAATAACTGTATATTTAAAAACCCAATAAAATAAAAAATATGTAGAATTTGTGCTTTAGAATTTGCGCGTTGCTTTTAGAATTTGTTCTCTAAAAGCAACGCGCAACACATGATCAATTTGTTCTCAAAATACTAATGCTGAAAATTTTACAAAAATCATAAAAAATGTGTTGAGCATATAATATTCGTGCAACACGCGATCAATTTCCTAGTATAATTATAAGTTGAACGTAGTAATTAATAGGCTTCGAAAGCTCGTAGACAATCTTTGAAGAAGATAAACTGAATATTACAATGAGCTTATAAAAGTCTACAGATTTTGAAACATTTTTTTGTAAATACATTAAGGATGTTTTTACTTTGATTGAAATTTTCTGATCTGGTTTGATCTGGTCTGGTTTGGTAAGTATCTGATCTCTGTGTAATTTATAATTATCCATGTTTGGTGTAGTCTGATCCGATCTAAAACTGAAAACAGTTCAAGTAAAAAACATTCTGATATACTGTGGTCCATTTATTTGTCATTCCCAAGTAAAAACATCCTTATTACACTACAAAAAAATTCGCTTGTAGTCACGGACCGTAGTCGCGGATTTGGTCCGTGACTAGTTAGTCACGGTTCTAATCACGGTTTAGTCACGGAACATTTAAAAAAAAATAGTCACGGATTTGGCCGTGACTACGTCCGTGACTACAGTGTTCCGGCCAACCCAATTTCGCCTCCGGCGGGATTTTTTTTAAATTTGAAATTAGTCACAGATGGTTCCGTGACTAGTGTCGTGTCTACAATTAGTCACCGATACGTCCGTGACTAATTCCGTGACAAGTGCAAAATTGATTTTTTCAACATTCCAAATTTAAAGTGCTCTGACAAATCGTACAAAAAATGTGTAGTCACGGACACATCCGTGACTACGTCTGTGACTATAAGTTTTATATATTCAGTCTCCGCTTCATTCAACAAAATCACACCATCTACTCCAGATAGAATTCCAGATAGAATTGAAGGATGTAATCTACCCATCTCATATCATTTTTCCTGTTTATGCAGATAAGGTATGTAATTTGAATTACGTATTTTTTGTATGAATTAGTTGGTTCATTTTAGCTACTACATTAGTTAAATTAATACTTAATTAATTAACGAAATAAATTCCTTAAATTTAGTTACGTTAAACGTAGGTGTAATTTAAACATATTGAGTTAATTAAATTGTATTTAATTAATTAAAATTACGTAAATTAGTTAAATATGTAAATTAGTTAAATACATATATATGAAAGTATATTATTAAATATAATATTGGCAATACATATGTTATTAATTTTAAAATATAGGGTTAAAATTACGTAAATTAGTTAAATACATATGTAAGTATATATGATTAAATATAATTTAAATGCATATTATTAATATTAGTTAAATGTAAGTATTATTTAATTCAAATGACTTTATATATATATGATTAAATATAAGTATATGATTTTTTTTATATTGGCAATTATTGTTAATTAAGGCGGCCTAATTTAGGATTAATAATGATTTAAATTAGGGTTAGTTAATTTAATTTAAATGTGTTTATTATATATATATGCTCAAATTATTGGATTTTAGGGTATTAGTTAATTTTAAGTGAATTTTAGTGAATTTTAGTGAAATTTAAGGAAACTAGTTAATTTTAAGGGAATTTTAGGGAATTAGTTAATTTTAAGTGAATTTTAGTGAATTTTAGTGAAATTTAAGGAAACTAGTTAATTTTAAGGAAATAAGTTAATTTTAAGGGAATTTTAGGGAATTGGTTAATTTTAAGGGAATTTTAGTGAAATTTAGTGAAATTTAAGGAAATTAGTTAATTTTAAGGGAATTAGTTGATTTTAAGAGAATTTTAGTGAAATTAAGTAAAATTTAAGGAAATTAGTCTGTGACTAAGTCCGTGACTACAGACGAATTTTTTTGTAGTGTTATACCATATATTTTGCTTAAAGGGATCATTTGTTAAACTTTCATATTTTAATCATGTTTAGGTTTACTTTTAACACAATATTTCTTTATCCCTTGAAAATACTTGGATGTCATATTTTATCGTTTTTGTTTCTATATTTGAGAATGAAATCATAATTATGTCAACAATATAAATAATAATAACAACAATAATCACTTCGTTGCTTTAAATATTGATTATATTTTGGACGTTTTTATTTGGAATGAAATTTTCTAGTCTGCTCTGATCTGATATGGTGTGTTTTGGTCTGAACTGGTTTGATCTGGTAAGTGTTTGGTCTCTGTGTATTTTATAACCGTCAAAGTCTTGTCTTGTATGATCTGAACTAGTCTGATATGGGACTGAAAATTGTCCAAATAAAAGCATCCTTAATGAATTCAGGAAACTTTCCAAGATATTTTAAACAATTAAAGTATTATTATTATTATTATTATTATTATTATTATTGTAAACAACAACTTAAATACTCCATAATCAT